GTGGAGTGTGGTGATTTATTAGGGCAGTAGAGTAACAATTTAATGGTACAACCTCCCACTGTTTTTTTGTGCAATCATGGGAGACAGCAGTGAATACAAATCAAGTGTGATGGTGCCTTCTGATTATTTGAATGTGTAGATGACCTCTATAAAACTGAATGGTGAGAATTATGTCCCTTGGGCTAAGTTTGTTGAAGTTTTCTTGAAAGCCAAAAAGAAAGTGAAACATGTGAGGGAAGATAAACCCTCAATTGAGTCTCCGGGATATGATGAATGGGAGTAGGAGGATGCTCAAATTATGACTTGGCTATGGAACAACATGGAGTCCAAAATTAGTGTGAACTTCATGTTTTTAGATACAACCAAGGAAGTCTAGGATCATGCAAGGAAACTATATTCTGGACAAGATAACACTACTAGGGTTTACCAACTGTACCAAGAGTACTTCAATTTGCAACAAGGGAATCAGAGTCTTGAGGACTATTATGCCAGTATGAGAAATTTACGAAATGAGTTGAATGTTTATCATCCTCTTACACCTGATGTCAAAGTTCAGCAACAACAAAGAGAGCAGTTGGATGTTACCAAATTTTTAGTAGGGCTGAAATCTGAGTATGAACCCGTAAGGGCACAGATATTAGGTGGATCTGCTCTTCCCTCTCTTGAGGAAGTGTTTGCTCGTCTTCGGAGGATTTCAGTTGGACCCATAGAGACTTCCACTATGTTACGAGAGGAGGAGGTCATGGTGGTAGAGGAGGTAAGCATGGTCGTGGTAGTGGTGGTGAACCCATGTATTGTCGTGGTGGTGGTGGAATGTATAATCGTGGTGGTGGTTGTGTTGGAGGACGAGACTCAGGGGGAGCCCGTGGTATGGGACGTGGTAATACTCAGAGAAGGTGTACTCATTGTGGTATGGAGGGACATACTATCAACTTTTGCTACGATCTCCATGGCCCACCTTCAAACTGGGCAAATCATGCAGTTGTAAATGGTGGTAGCTCAAGACAAGAATCTCAAGTCACTGATCAAATCCCCACTACATCTACAGATACTTCCAAAAAGGAGATGGTGAGTGTTTCACGGGATGAGTATGAGTGGTTCATTCAGGGTACATCTCAACAGAATGCAGCTACCCTTGCACACACAGGTACGACTTGTCTAGCATCCACATCTTCCCGTTGGATTATAGATTCTGTAGCTTCCGATCATATGACTGGAACTCCAGGTGTGTTTTCATCCATTTCTCCGTACTCCACTTCCCAATTTGTTACTCTTGCCAATGGCTCTACATCAGCCATATGTGGTGTTGGTAATGTTGACACTGACTCATTATTCCTCTCCTCAGTTTTATATGTTCCCAAGTTTCCCTTTAACCTGATGTCTGTTAGTAAATTGACTCAGTCTCTTAATTGCTCAATAACTTTTTACCCTTCCTCTTGTGTGTTTCAGGATCTCAAGATGGGGATGAAGATTGGTGGAGGGCATGAAGCTGGTGGACTATATTATCTTGATGGAGGTGGTTCGGCAACAACTCTTCAGTCGTCTCTCTCCCCTCATCAGTGGCACTGCAGACTTGGTCATTTGTCTCTTAGAGCTCTTCAGTTACTTGTTTCGTCGTTGCGTCGTCTTTCTAATTTAAATTGTGAGTCGTGTCAGTTTGGGAAACATCATTATGTCTCCTTTAGTCCTAGAGTTGATAGTCGTACATCGAGTCCTTTTTCTTTAATCCATTCGGACATCTGGGG